GGCCGCCCAATCCCGAAGGACTCCGGGTAGTAGATAGGTATTTGAAGATTAGCTCTCAGTGACAGTTTCAAGTTTTTTTAAAAAAAGGACAGCATTGTCAGTCTCATATCATTGTCCATGAAATGATTCTAATAATTATCTTTCGCAGGGATACAGCAATGATGGAGAGAAAAAAAGCATGGCAGTCAAAATTGAAGAATGTACAGATTGGCTGGAAAGAGCGGACATTGCAATGCAATACATTTGGAGAGCACAAATGCATTTTACTTACATAATCCCAGAGTTCCTGAGAGCTGGGTAGCATAAACATTTAATAAATTGTTATCTGTTCACAATAAGGTGAAGTCACCGCTGCCAGTTCCCCCATAACTGAATGTAGAGGGTCGTGCTTGCTTACTGACCACTTGTTCAGTAACCAAAGTTGCAACAGCACTGAAGAGTGAACCTTACGTTCTGGTGGTTGCTATCCCTGAGATCACAAGATGTGATTTGGTTCTTGACAATCAACTCTTGCAATAGTTATAAGCACCCCGTGGTCACGTGATTGCAATTTGCAAGTTTTCTTGCCAGCAGGAAATGTTGCAAGTTATTCCTTTAAGTATGCCCTGTTCCCCCTGCATTCATGTGGTGTGGGGCTCGCCTTCTTCTGGACTTCCCGCTTTTGAGGACAGCCTACATCCAGCCTAGCCCCCATCCTCCCACTTAGCACTTCTATGTTCCTTACCCACTGCTTCCTAATATCCCACCCATCTTGGGGGTTATGGTAGCAACTGGAACTGCCAGGATTGCCCTCACTAGGCAATCTGGCCAAATGACATTATGCTTCACAACTACATCACTTGACAGCTATCTCAGTCCCAATTGCCTTCGTGACCTGGGAATTACCTATATTTAAAACGAGACCAGAAAACCATCTGCTTGAAATGCTTTAATTTATATTCTTCTACTGAGCAGTGAACCAGATTCATTAATCCATAAAGAATTTCCTCCAACTTTGATTCTAATTTATTAGAAAGACCGGGGACTAGCTTGCTAGCCTTCTTAAGAGTTTCCACCAAATTGGAAGAGAGCAGGATGGTGCTCCATTAGGGTAAACTGGCTTTGAAATTCCACTTTCCTTCTGAAATACGTTCTGGACTTTGTAAAACTTTTGGGATTCCTTGTAATACTTCTACTATCAATATGTTATCTGGACTTTAGCATTCAAATAGAATGTTGCCTGCAACATTCTGCCACATTAACACCTCAAATATAACAATTGTTAAGAAAGACAAAAAATTCTACATAGTGGGCCTACCAGAGCCTGGAAACAGCAGAAGAAAAAGAACAAAATAGCAATAGACTTATATATCCTCCATAGTGCTTTTACAGCCCTCTCTAAGAAGTTTACAGAGTCAGCCTATTGCCCTCCAACAATTTGGGTCCTCATTTTACACACCTCGGAAGGATGGACGGCTGAGTCAACCGTGAGCCGGTGACATTTGAACTGCAGCTAGCTGTCAGCTGAAGTAGGCTGCAGTACTGCACCCTAACCACTGTACCACTTCGGCTCTATTTGCATTACAAAGTAATAGAAATAGAAACAGAATGACTGTGGCAAAAGAAGGCAAAAGTAGTATCAATAGTAGTGATGAAATTCAATATTTGTTTACTTCTGATTCTGTGGGCATGGCTTGGTGGATGTGGCAGGGTAAGGATACTGCAAAATCCCCATTCCCTCCCCACTCCTGGGGGAAGGATATTGCAAAATCTCCATTCCCACCCCACTCTGGGGCCAGCGAAAGGTGGTATTTGCCAGTTCTCCGAACTACTCAAAATTTCCGCTACCGGTTCTCCAGAACCTGTCAGAACCTGCTGAATTTCACTCCTCACCAATAGTAATAGGTGCCTTGGATGTAATTTCAAAACATTTAGAGCACCACTCATCCATCAATTGCAAAGGCAGCTTTATTTAGAACTTATATCCTGTGACAATATCTTTAATACCATCAAATTTCCACATCTGCCAGCCTTTCCCACATTCTTGGGAAGAACTTGATAGGTAGACAAAAATGCCAGTTCCAGTCTGAACATCTGGCTGGCTGTGCAACAAACCATAATATGTATGGTAATATTAATGTCTAGTCCTGCCTTAGGCATGAAAACAGGGTGGGTAACTATGGGCCAATTACTCTCTCTCTCTCTGACCAATTCACCCCACGGATTGTTATGTGGAAAATAAGAGTAAGGAATATTAGGTATGTTCATTGCCTCAAGTTATTTGTAAAAATAATAAAGAATAAAAAAAATCTAAATAAATAATATATAAACAAAAATAAACAAACTTTTTCTTTCTAGATTACAGTGGTATTGTAGGAAGTTAGCACCCACAACTCTCCTAGGAAAATTAAATATTCTAGGCAATGTTATAAAGGCAGAATATTATAGTTTCCTGGATGAGAAATGGAGACACATGTTTTTAGGCAGGAAGCAGACTCACTTTAATAGCCCCCACCCTCCTCAATAGCCCACAGCAGATGTTAGCACTTAAGAGATAAAGAGATAGTTAGCATTATTCATAAGCAAATGCCATCACCTAAGATCCAACAAAGGTAGGCCTCAGCTATAATAGGAGTTGCCCAAAGCCCCTTCATTACATCATCACCCAGCAAGATTCAACCTGGGAGTCTGACAACTAATCAGAATATGTTTCTTACCAAGGCAGGGCCTAAGAGAGGGTATAAATCTATCTCGCTCTCTCACCCATGTGCTTTTTTTTTTGCCCAAGATCTCAAACCATGTGATCCTGTCCACCATGAAACCATCTTTCCAAGCAGTCTCCATGTTTCCAGTGTCTTTCTTCCCACTTGGAACTGAACCCAGATGGACATTTCTTCCAACAGTATTCTAAAGGGGGGAAAGTGGGCCTTCATTTTAATTTCCCATTTGTAAAATCCCTCATGCAGTGAGAGTTTGACCAACTTCCCCTTCCTACACCAAAAAGAAAAAAAAGGCTTGGATTTAGACCTGAAATCTCTCCATCCACAAATCCAGCTGGGGATGTTCAAGGTTTTTGGAAGAGGACTATCTCTTGTCCTTTTACACCTGCTGACTTTAATAGTATTTCATCACTTTTGCTATTAGCTAATGGAAGCCCTGAGGAACAATTCTATATAGTGCACCTGGGAGATACATTTTGCTGCATGCCTTAGTACTACCAATTGTATTGCTTGTTTGGGGGGGTGGGGGAGTTTACTAATAGCATTGATGACAGGAAAAGAAATTGCTAAAGACTTATGAGAGAATCCGGAGGGGGAAGGGACTTGAGAGGTCATCTAGTCTGACAGGCACTCCATGCATTTTTAGCACCCCAGTCCCACTGGTAGAGTCCATAGTGGCAGCACAAAAAATCACAGGGGAGAGTTTTGATGACAATTTATGCAATTTGGGAAAAATTGACTGGGTGCAAAAAAGGTGATCTGGGATCCCCAAAGGTGCTTTTTCAAGAGGCAACTGGACTTCTGGGTTTTGTTTTGTTGGAAGAAATGTCCCTCTGGGTTCAGTTCCAAGTAGGGAGAAAACCACTGGAAACATGGAGGCTGTTTGGAAAGATGGTTAATGGTGGTCAGGAACCTATGGCTTGAGTCTTGGGGAGCATCCTTCAATATGTTGGGTGAAGAAAGAGAGCGAGATGTTGAAACTCCCTGGCTTCACGACTTCTCTGGCCTTTGATCTTGTATTCTGATTGGTTGTCAGATTCCCATGGGGCCATGCGGGGGGGGGGGGGAACTCTCTAGGCTGTGTTTTAAGTCCAAGTTTGGTTGAGCATTGCTTCTTCCCAGGTGCCCTGTGCTGAGATGGGTAAAGGGCCAATACTATCATGCCTTAATCCCATCTCACCCTGGAGCTGAAGGGGAGAGAACTTTGTTATGTAGAATAAACTGACTCAGGCCTTTTAATGGCCCATTGACAAAGGTTGAAGCTATTAAGAGTGACTTTGTTTCCTGCCTAAAAACATAGACTGAGAAACATGCAGACTGAGAATCTCCATAGACAAGTGATCTGGGACAGGGGTGTCCAACCTTGACCACTGGAGGACTTCAACTCCCAGCAAAGCTGGGGAACTCTGGGAATTGAAGTCCTCCAGGCTTAAAGTTGCCCACGTTGGACACCCCTGATCTGGGAGGTTTTTCGTGCTCTTTATCTTATTCCCAAAAACATAAACTCCGCGCCCTGATTATCTGACCAACGCAGGTCATTGGTCGGGAAGACACCGCCATTAAGACAATTAACAACCTAACGGCTGAAACCGTTTCACCTGCGCCGCTTTCCTTACAAGGAGCACGTGCTTCGACAAGTACACGCGTTTCAAACGTATAGGCGCGGACTGATGACGTAAACAGACGCAAGCCTAATTTAAACCCTCGTAGGGAAACACGAGAACGACAAGAGGATAGAAACTGGAAGAGATCCCGGCGGGCGGCCCCTCTGAGGTGGGCGGGGCCATAATTAAACGCGGCCAATGGCGGAGGATGCTCGTGGGGGTGGGCGGGGCTGAGGGCTTCCGGACAGTGCAAGGAACGTGCCGTACACGCCCTTGCGTCCCCTTTTTATCCGCAGCTTGCCTTTCCCTCCCCCCTCCTCCCATCCCACGCGCCTTCCCGTTTCCCTTTCCGGCCGCGGCTGTGCGCATGTGCGTTGCTGCGACGCTCCGTCAGTCTTTTCCTGCGCCGCGTGAGGTAAGTGCTTGGCCTGACGCGGGCCGGCGGGCGCGTGTGCGGCATCTCCCGTCTTCCGCCCGACCTTTGTGGCGGGAGGCTCGTGAAGCGGCGGGGGAGGCTCGGAGACCCTTCGCGGGGGCCGGACGCGCGTGTGTGGGCCGCCTCTTCCCGGCTTCCTTGCGGCTCGGAACCCAGCCATGGGTGGGGAACGAGGGGCTAGGAAACGAAGTCCTGAGGAAGCCCTCCGGCTTTCTTTCGCGTTGGCGGGCGGATTTCCCCTCACGCGAGCGGTCCCTTCACCGAGAGATTCTCCTTCCCGAGGCTTTTTTTCTCTCTCGCCCGGGAAAAGAACGTGTCCCTGCCCCCCCTTCCCGAGCTGCCCACGCGGCTCCACCCAGGTAGGTAGCTCGCATCGCATGGCGAGGATGAATGACTCCGCCCGCTGGGAAAAAGCCCTCGTGGACCTCGACAGGGGCCGAGGCCTTCTCTGTTCTCCAACCTCCTTCGCTCTTTCCTTTCCTGAGGAGGCCGGAACCTTTTAAGAAAGCGGTTCCCAACCTTTTTTTTGCCATGCCCCATCTAAGCATCTTTAAAATCCTGCCCCCCCCCCCGTGACATATAATTCTCACTTTACTCGAAAAGTGAACTCCACTCACGCGGAGGAAGCCTAAAAGGCCGTTAACTTGGTTTAAACAAGGTTCAAATTGTCAATAAAAATCAAATTGCCTTCCCCCCCCCCCCGTGAGGCGTGGGCCCCGCGTTGGGAACCACTGCTCTGACTAAGCCTTCCAACATTTTTTAAGTTGACTCCGGCCTTGGGAATCGATAGAAAGGGCGGTCTGATAACTGCTGAGTCGTCAGTTCTCTCTTCCCTCCCCCTTTGTCCCATTCATCACGATAATCCACTAAAACACTGGTAGATAAATGTGGAGCCAAGGCCGCCTCCTTTTAACCTTTAAAGAAGAGATGTTTAGGATTTAGAAGTTTGTTCCTCTTGGTTGAAGAACTGCAATTCAGGAATTTTGTCCGGGATATAAAGAGGGTGTGCCCAAATCCCTGTTAGAAATTTGCAAGTTGTCCTGAGGGTGAGTGGGTCACACCTTGTTGGCCTTCCCAGAATTTCAGGTTTGGTGGTAATAAATCCTCCCTAATGCAAAAGGCTTTGCTTATCTCTTTTTAAGTTCTCCGGGCATTTTTAATATTCTCCTCCAACAAGAGTCAGTCAGTCTTTCTCTTATGAACTGAGTTAGGTGTAGGTATAGGTCTGGATATAAAGACACACAAAAGGAGGGAGGCCTTTGCCATATGTGGAGGAGGAGCAGGCAAGAATGATTGCTGCCAAAATGCAGTCTCTCTGGCCGCAGCTGCCGCCACCTTCCTTACATGTTCACAGTGCACACACCCTTGTAGTTTCTATAATGGTGATGAATCATGTTTCTTTGTGATAGTTGTAACGACAGATCTGTTTTAAGCTACTGAAAACTGAATCACAGTGCATTCAACACTACTGTTATGGCCAGACTTCAATAAAAATCATTGCAGTAATTGTAACATGGTCTGGCTTAGCCATCATTATTAATTGAAATAAGCATGGTGTATTCGTTTCCCAACTGCTTACTTCCCTCCACTTTTCTCAAGCATTTTAAATGTAGCCTGCGAATAACTGACATAAATAAAATAGTTTTACTTTTTTCTTACTTATATAGATAAGTAAGAGGATATAATCTGAAAAAAGCAATTTTGAAAGATACCTCAAATTGTATTGTTGCCAGACATTCTTATAAATCATAGTTATCAATCCTATCACTCAAACTCCACCTGAGGGTTGGAAAGCTTTATGTTATCCTAACATTATATAATCGTGACAACTCTTCTTGGGTACCCCATTGAAATTCCAAATTCTTCTGTAGCTTCCCCTTTTCTTCCCCTCATCTAGATAATATTAATTTAAGCTCTTTTATCTAAATGGTGAAGAATTGGATATATCTAGAGAATATACTACTGAGCAAACAAGTTTGTGAAACAGTAGTTGAGACTGACTAATTATAAGGAGAGAGGAATAAACCCTCCTAATTTTTTGGTGCAGAACATTATGTAGATACTGCATTAGGTTAAAGCATAGTAGCAATGTTGATGATATCTATGAAATGGCTGAGAACTGTCTGTTGGAAATTACAGTATTTTCTAGAATTCATTTTGTACTATGGCCGATGAAGTTGACTTCACCACTGGAGATGCTGGTGCTTCTGCCACTTACCCAATGCAGTGTTCTGCACTCCGTAAGAATGGCTTTGTGGTGCTGAAGGGACGTCCCTGCAAGATTGTGGAAATGTCAACTTCCAAAACTGGCAAACATGGTCATGCCAAGGTAATCTCAAGAGTATAATTTACGTCTTTAGTTGCTTTGATTCACAAGTAATGCCTTATGAATATTAACTATTTGCCATTATTTCATTTTTGCTTAAACTGCTTTTGTAGTTGATTATCCTTACAAATTGATTCAATCATCAAATAAAATTGCATAGTATCTTGTTTCTCCAAATAGAACATATTTAAAGTGAACAAATTCCAAAATGGCACATTGAATTAATTCAAGCATTGTGCTCTAATCCTGCATATCATTTTATTCCAGCCAGTTCTCTATGGTCTGTAACTTTCTAAATGTTTTGGGACTAGAACCTGCAGAATTGCTAGCTAACATGGCCTTTTCTGTGCCTTGTCATAATTGAATTTACATGTCAATAAATGAAGGAGGAAAATATTTACACAAGAAGTGAAAGGGTGGAGGAAATCCAGATGCCAGTGTGTAGCATGTTTTCTTTCTACAAATTAGTCTAAGATTCTAAATATATCTGGAGTGAATTAATAAATCTAATTTTACAAGTCCGTTTCGTAAAGAATATAGAAGTAGCTTAACTGAATTTTACCTTTGAAATTTGCGGGAATGCGTTACATGTTAAAAGAAAGTTGCCTTATATGTAAGTCTGCTTGTGACAGTCTTCTGATAGATTGCACCTTAGCAGAATAGTTGTAGCTAAGAGCTGGAGTTGACAGTTAAAGTAATATTGGGAACTTGTGTCCCTATAAATTAGCCCACTTACCCACCTATTGTGTTGCCTAAGACCCTGTAATGAATTTGCATTTAAATACTTGATGAACCTTAGGCATTATCTTATATAGAATACTTTAATACAGCTTTTATGTATAACACAAACACCTAGTAGTTTTGAGCCTTGGGAAAACATCTGAAATATACAGTACAAAACAACCAGTTTATGACTGGTTCCATTGATAACATTAGAAATAAGAACATTAGAAATGAAACATCTTCAGGAATATTACATTATTCAGAATATTGCAAAATCTATGTTGAAAGACATATTCATAGCTAGTTTGTTTCCTCTCAACTTTTTTAAAGATACATTATGTGGGAAGATCTGAATAAGTGTGAGAAAATGTGAAATACAATATTCTTGGTAACCTAATTATATGATTATGAATGTTTTCTAAATAGGTTCATTTAGTTGGTATTGATGTGTTCACTGGCAAAAAGTATGAAGATATATGTCCTTCTACTCACAATATGGATGTTCCAAATATCAAGAGGAATGATTACCAGGTAAGTATGTCTTGGAATGTAGGCTTTCCTTGCTCTAGAGGTGTACAAAATGGAAGCCTCACTTTGGGGAACCTGGTCCAAATTGAAATGGGGGACCTTATGGACCCCCAAGTACTTAGGTTACCCAATTGTCCCTTTGTGGTGCTTTGTGATACCTAAATTTGCAACAGTTTTATCAGTTTATTCTTAATAGGGTTATTTACGGTTTAATATTGTATAGTATCAATTCCAGGTAGTCCTCAATTTACAACCACAATTGTGCATTTCTGTTATTGAGACATTTGTTAAATGAGTTTTACCCCATTTTACGACTTTTCTTGCCAGAGTTGTTTAGTGAATCACTGCAGTTGTTAAGTTACCAGCCTGGTTGTTAAATTAATCTGGCTACCCCATTGATTTTACATGACCCTGGGACACTGCAATGATGATAAATATGAACCAGTTGCCAGGCATCTGAATTTTGATTACAAGATCATGTTGGTGCTACAAAAGTCATAATTCTGAAAAATGGTCATAAGTTACTTTTTTCAGTAATATTGTAACTTTGAACGGTCACTAAATGAACTGTTGTAAATCGAGGACTACCTGTATCTGGGATTACAGTTGTCGCCATACAATATTCTGGATTGTATGATTCCTATGTTACTAGAAAAACATGCAGGTAGTCCTCAACTTATGACCATAATTAAGCCCAAAAATTTATGTTGCTATGTAAGACATTTCTAAAGTGAATTTTGTCCCATTTTACAACCTTTCGCACCATAGTTGTTGAATCATTTTAGTTGTGAAGTCAGTAACAGGGTTAAGTGAATCTGGCTTCCCCATTTGACCTTGCTTATCAGATAGTTACAGAAGGAGATCACATGACCTCAGGACACTGCAACCATCATTAATATGAGGCAGTTGCCAAGTGTCTGAATTTTGATCACAGGACCACGGGGATGCTGCAACAGTTGTAAATGTGAAAACGATCATGAATCTAAACCTTTTGGAGACATCTTGGTTTGAATTAACATTATTTTAAAAATGAACAATAAAAATACATTCTTTTTGTTTTCCTACTTCTGATAAAGTCTTCTAAAAATATTTTCTGAAACCTATGATTAATTGATGTGAGAAAATAGAAATCACACTGTAGTTCTTTAAAATATACGGGCTTAAAATTGGTTTGAAAAAGAACAACAGGCAGGTTTTATTTTCAAAGCGGTGGTTCTAGCATTTCCCATTTTAATGAATGTAATTGAATAAAATATTTTATACTATATCTTGCAGCTAATCTGTATACAGGATGGCTACCTTTCTTTGCTGACAGAAAGTGGAGAAGTTCGAGAAGATCTAAAAGTCCCGGAAGGTGAATTAGGCAAAGAAATAGAGGGAAAATACAATGCAGGAGAAGATTTCCAGGTAAGGCTGCCCATTTTACTCTCTTGATAATGACATCAACTACTGTAGGAGTATTTGTTTTCTCTTCCTCCATGAATAAGTGTTTTTCTGCAAAGCAAAGGAGAAGTGCTTTCTATGTAGAATCCAAGTGTTTTTTTTTTATTTGTTGGTTTATTAAATTTTTATCCGCTCATCTTACCACAAGGTGACTGGGCAGTTTACAAGTTATAAAACAAAGTAAAAATAATTAAAACATTAAAAACCACATGGATTAAAATATTGTTTCAATTGTCAAAAATATTGTTAGTTTTGAGTTAAATCTGCTTCTGTCTTTGCATTTATGTTCTAAGTGGAAGTCGCCAATATATGCTCTCTCCTTTACAATGAACATGAATTTTAACTTTAGTTAGGAGTACTTCAAATATCTTACTGTCTTTCCACATTATAACAAAATTCTTTTTTCCCTTTCTGTAGGTGTCAGTCATGTCTGCAATGAGTGAAGAATGTGCTGTAGCCATAAAACCTTGTAAATAGGACCACCTGGATCAAACAGTTGCTAAAGTACCAGCAACTGAAAATCTTGTATTTTAGTTCTGATTATCACCAAAGCTATAACCTTCACTAGCAACCTCGTGTCTTTGTTTGAAAATAGTGCTGACTGATGTTGCAAGCAGTTTGGCAATATTAAGATTGCTGAAGTTCAAGTGCTTACAGGAATGGCAAGGCAGTCAAAAACTGTCATTTTAGATCATGAGGTATTCAAAAGTAGTATGCTTTGCTCAAATGAGACTCTATAGCAGTGCCAATACCAAGGTAGTACTCAGTTTGAGTTTACGTACATTCTAAAGAAACAAAAGTAACTTTGTTTTAAAATCTTAAACATGGTAAAATGTGGCTTGCACTGAACTGTGAAGCCTAATTGAGCTAGAGACAACGGAACTCATGTGATCAAAATGCCAGTGCTGGTTGGCTGTATACAGCAAACTGTAACTTTGCTGTCTTGCTCTTAATTGGTCACAATTTGCTGTAAACATCCAGAATTGCTGGGTGCTTTCATACTCTGGTTAATAGTGCACAAATGTTGGAGCAGGGTAGAGAGGAGGAGATTCACTAGAGGCCTTTGTTTTCAATGTAGAGTTCAACCACTTCCAGTTTTAAACAAGGCAATGCCTCAAGAGTTAACAGTATTTGATTTGGCTTTTAACTTTTTTTTTTAGGTTTATGGCAGAAGTAAACTTTTTTTTTTTTAGGAATTGAAGCAAACCTGTACTGATCAATGGCCGGAAGGCTAAATTTCAACCCTGTGTCACTGAACAGAATTTGAGCCATGGATTGTCTTGTAGAGTTTATAAAGAACTATGATAGCGCAACTCTGTCAAACACATGAACCTCTGGACTATAATAAAACTGTTCTGATTCAAAACCTACTTGAGAAGAATTGGTTACACTGCGTGGGCAAATGCCTAACTACTAATCAACCTATTATCCATGTGATCTTTGCTTGCCAAGGTCATGTTTCAGCTTGATTAGCATTTGGGGAGAACCTAATCACTTAAATTTGCCTTATACTTTGGTAGCAAATGACTAACTTGAACTAGTGACTAGATTCTTAAAACATGCTTAGTTCATTGGCAGTTTTTTGGGGTGGGTGGGTGGGGTGAAATAGTAAATAGGGTTTTGAGCTTAAGTTAATAGAATTGCCCTTAAGCAGTAAAGCTAGAAGAGAGGGGAAAAAAGAAACTGCATCTGGATCTTTATAAGCTCTAGATTTAACTAAGCAAGTATCTATGCAGAACAGGGGCACAATACAACTTAATTTGGCAATAAACACTCTTGGAAATAGCACAGTCTTGTTATAATGGTAAATAACTACATGTTTCAAGATCTAGGGCTACTAGGAAACTGAAGGATTCTAGCTTATTGTTAAAAGTTTAAATCATGTGAGTGTTCCTTAAATACTGTATTGTCAATATCCATAACAGGAATGGAAGTCACAGTTTGAAATGTGGACTCCCATTTGCTAGTATCATTTGTGATGATTATTTGTCCAACAGTTATCTATTGTGCCTGAGCAGCTGAGAATACTGAGGTCATAATATTTAAGGAGTCCTGCTAGTATCTCCCTAGTGCTGTCATCTTTTAGGAATTTATTACCAGAAGTACCCACTCCTGAAAGTGGTACTTAGACTTCAGATTAATTCCTAGCAGTCTGAAACCACAAGTCAGGAAAAAAATACAATGTCTATTAGGTAGATCTTATGTAGGACACCACTAAAACTACAGTATTTCCAACAAGCTAATAGCAAAGCCATTTTTCTTGTAGAAGTTAATTGTCTACAAACCCACTAAGTTTACAATAAACTTTGCTATTGAAACAATGCTATATATATTTCAGGTTCTTTGAGCTGTTTCAGGGCCATCATGTTCCTACGAATCCATGTTTAGATTGTTTCTTTTTAGCTGAAACCAATCACATTTAATTTTCAAGAGCAGGGTCAAAATCTTACAAGCTGAGGGCCAAAATGAAGTCTGAAATAGTCCCGTTGTCAGTTTGTTATGATCTAAACTATTTGCTTGGGGTCCATTATCTTTTGTTCATCAGACTGCAGATTTTTTTTTCCTTAGATGCTAGGGATTATTTTGTTAAAACCCCAATTTACCTCTTGATGTCTTTGTTGTCTTGCATCTGTGTGCAACGAAACCACTGCTAGTTGAGCCATGACTTGAGTATATTCTTCTCAGGGCTGCTCTTGTGAAGATGTGAAAGAGCTTAAGTTGATTATTTTAACAAAGCTGCTTAAAAGTTGTAACAGGGTTTTGTATTGCATAAATTTATAGCATGCCTAGGACACAAGTAAAATCTAGTATATTGAATTAGTCTAAAGGAGTCAAACATTGTGATCCATCTACCCTTAGGTTAGGTGACATGTTTGACAACAGTAAGCTTTAAATGTTGGAATGCTGACTATGTCTGGGAATTTTCATGGAATAAGCTGTGTTAAATTTTTGTGCGTGTGTAAAGAGCAAGATTCTTGTCTGTTGCTATCAAAAATTTTCACAGTGTAATTAGAGACATTGATCTTTGTGGTGTTTAGATTGTGGTACTGTACTTGTAGAATTCTGGGCTTTCACATTCAGTGACTGTTACATTAAAAAGTCATTGTTTTAAATTAAATGGGGGGAAATGGTTTTGTATTTGCCACAATAGGAAGCTCCCATAAGTATGCAATTATCCCTACTGGCAAGTAATGTATGCAAAGTTCATTATATAAGAGTGCCCTTGACTTTAAAAGCAAAACTTGAAAGGTTTGTACTTTTTCTGCATTCCTGTAATAGTGAAGTGTTCATATGTTTAAGAGTTCTTGGCTTTTAATTTGTTTTAACAAAATGTTTGAATTATTATTTGAGTCACAGTAACAAAAAATAAAGTTTAAACTTAAAGGCTATTTTTATTTGTCACTTCTATATATCCTGCTCACTGTAGATAATGTCTTCTGCAGCAAATTGGAGGGAAGACTATTTCATTTTTATAGCACTATTTCATAGCACTTTTAACAACTGGTTCTATGCTATAGTTCTATTATTTAACATTGATCTCCACGCGTAGGTTTTAAGGAAAAATACTGCTGGGAGAATAACGGTTGGAAGAGATCTTGGAGGTCTTCTAGTCCAACCCCCTACTCAGCCACGAAACTTGATACTATTGCAGACAAAAGGTTGTCCAATCTCTTCTTAGAAACTTCCAGTGTTGGAACATACATAACTTGTGGATACAAGTTGTTCTACTGATTAATCATTCTGTCAGGGAATTTCTCCTTAGTTCTAAGTTGCTTCTTGTCTCTGCATTCAGGTGCTTTCCAGAATAGCTTGACTCCCTCTTATTTGTGGCAGCCCCTGAGATACTGGAATACTGCTATCATGTCTTCCCTAGTCCTTCTTTCTATTAAACTAGAGATACCCAGTTCCTGCAACCGTTCTTCATATGTTTTAGCCTCCAGTCCCCTAATCAGTGTGCTTTTCTCTGCACACTCAACATCTTTTTATGATATATTTTTAATGATATCTTGGAAGTCTTAGTGGACAACCAGCTAAATATGAGCCAGCAGTGTGCAGCGGCAGCCCAAAAAGCCATTTAACAGAGATACAATCAAGATCAAGTGAGGTACTAATACCACTGTATAAAGCCCTAGAAAGACCACACCTAGAGTACTGCATCTAGTTTTGGTCACCATACTATAAAAAGATGTTGAAACTCTAGAAAAAGTACAAAGAACAACTGGGATGGTTAGGGTACGGGAGACTAAAAATGAACGGTTGCAAGAACTGGGTATGTCTAGTCTAGTGAAGAGAAGGACCAGAGAAGACAGGACAGAAGCCTTCCAATATTTGAGGGGCTGACACAGAGGAGTGGGGGTCAAGCTATTTACCAAAGCACCCAAAGGCCAGACAAGGAATCTACAGTAGTGGCCAAAATTGTGGAAACCTTTTGGGAAGTGTACAGTATTTTTGAGGTTTGATGGCTAATAACACCCCTTTTTTGGAGTAGTACCATAAACATATATATCAATGGAAAGATAATTATCAAGAATGTAATGCAAATAACCTTTATGAAGGATTTGCTATTAGAATAGCAGTTATAAAGAAAAGTAAAACACACAAAAAATGAGATATACAAAAATTATCACGTCAGTTAATATTTACTTGGGTAACCTTTAGCATGAATTACAGGCCTTACGTCTTTCCATGGAGTGAACCCTTTTAGTTCTGCAGCTGTTATAATGTCAAACCAAGATTGAATGTTTGCATCTATTAACTGGGTTTTTATTGCTATGTTTGGCTATAACTGTTCATAGAATACAGATAATTGAACAAACCTTGTTGCATTACATTCTTGATTAAATTATCTTTCCATTGATATATAATTGTATAGTACAATTCCAAAAAGAAGTTGTGTTATTAGACATCAAACCTCAAAAATACTTTTCCCAAAAGGTTTCCACAATTTTGGCCACTAGTGAAGAAATGAGGAACTTTCTGACAGTGAGAACAATCCAACCAATGGAACAGAAGTTGCCTTCGGAAGTTGTGGGGCTTCATCACTTGAGACTTTCTAGAAGAGATTGGACTGCCATTTGTCAGAAATGGGGTGGGGCAGGGTCCAAACAGCATGGCTGGCTGGGGGATTCTGGGAGTTGAAGCCCACAAATCTTAAAAGTTCCCAAGTTTGGACACCCTGGTGTAGGGTTTCCTGCTTGTGGGGTTGGATTAGATGACCTATAAGGTCCCATCCTGTTAAAACTGAATGCAGTATTCCAAGTGTGGGCTTCTTAATCAAGGCGTGGAAGTGGAAACCAGCCGTCCTAGAATACTCTTAAACCATTATATACAGGGGGAAAAATGAGTGGAATTAAGATGCAATCAGGGAGAGACGTTAGTGAATCATCGCTTCCAAATGAACAGACTTCGGCTTAAAACCCCGGAAGTTGGAGTCCCAACGCCACGTGAACGGCGCTGGGCTCTCTTACCCGGCATGCCTTGGCTCTTCATTGAATCAGAAACGCCCCCAACCGGAATCATAGAGAGCGGCGCTTCCTAGAGGCGCCCCCTTCTAATACAGCATCTCTCGGGCACGTGCGGCACGCCTGACGTAGATTGCGTCACAGGCGGATCGCCTATAAAAGAAGGCCGCGCGGAGACCGTGGCCTTTTTCAGGGATCCGAAGAGCTTGTCGACATGGCGCCGGTGAGCGGGGGAGGGGGGGGGTTTCTTGGGCGCGCGCGCATGCGCTATTGGCCGTCGGCGAGGCGAGGCGAAGCGAAGCGGTGCTTTAAGGGAAGGGAAAGGGACAGAAGCCTTTGTGGGGTGGCTGTGGGCTCGCTCCTTTCGTTGGGAGCTGGGGAGAAGAAGCCGCTCCGAGGTGGAGGAGGCTGTGGTAGCAAGAGTAGTTCAGCTTCTCTCTGCGAGGGTTGCCTTGCGAAAGAGCTTTGCCAGCCCTTCTTGGAGGGAGACCAGCCTAGCCAATGATAAAATAAGCGGGTGAATAATAAACGATCTAGGTTGCTTTTGGGGGGGGGGGGAGGATATGCTAATGATCCTATAGATCAGTGTTTCTCAACCTTGGCAACTTGAAGATGTCTGGACTTCAACTCCCAGAATCCCCCAGCCAGCGAATGCTG